CTTTTTTTGTAGAACAAGATCCATATTTTCAGAGTTGTTAGCAGTGCGCGGGTCTGAAGTTTGTGTCTGTAACTTAGATATTACACAATCAACGTTTGTTAGCATGTGTACACCACAATCATGTCCATTGTTTTGAGTACTTGATTTTTCTTCTTCAAGTTTTATGTCCTTCTTAAAGACTTTATTAACTTTGGTGGACACAGCAACTGCACTATCATGATTTGTTTTGTTGAGAGAGTCATAGTGCCTCCATGTGTCGTGAGTGAGGTCTAGTACAAGAAGAGACCAGTGGCTGCCACTACTACCACTGGTAGATGTACTGTTGTTCAAGGGGAATAGTATAAGCTTGTATTTCTTTAAGCTTAGTCCTACTATTTGACTCTTGACTGTGTCCAAATCTGCTAGCTTAATGAGTTGGGTGACTGAAGGCTCAAAGATGTAGACGTTCTTCTCTTTTGTACATTTTTTGACATGATTTGTCAAATAAAAAGAGATCGCCTCATCTCCTAACCATTGTTTGCTGTTTAAAATGTCCATCTTATATTTATTGCAGAGTTTTTCGGTTTCCTTCATTTTAGTCCAAGCAGTTTCTTTTTCTTTTTTTAATTGAGTTATAGTCTTCTTTAACTCCTCCATAGCGTGTTGCAGTTCAGATATTCTCAATTTTTGTTCATTTGCTTTTGTCTCATAATCAGCAAAATAACAAACAGAGTCTGTCAGATTATCCTTGGTTATTGATAAGTCATTGTTGTCAGCCTCAATCAGTTCTTCCATTAACGACTTATTTTTATTTTTGGAGTGTTCATATACATTTTCTAAATGTGAAAAATCTTGTTTTAATGTGTCATAGGATTTTTGCAATTCTATATTCTTGCTAATATCAATATTCCATCCCTCCAAGGTTTGTCCAAAGTAGTTAACTAGTTTCTCAAAAGGTTCCACACCATACTGATCAATTAGTTTATTTAGCTCATATCTTAAAGGAACTGACAAATCAGTGATTTTCTGATTAATGCAATCAACTGTATTTTCATCCAAGGTATTTTCTGTTGGGGAACAGTTTTCATTTGTGAATACTATTATATTCTCCATATTTTTAAAGAATATTTTTATTAATCCATTTCTTGGAAAGTGAATTATAAAATAAAATATTTTTTATTGTTTGTAATGATATAGGAATAACTGCTTAATATGTATATTAGCTAACAATGCAGTAAAAGGAAAAAATATCTAATAATAAAAATATATGTACAGTATGCAACATTTGAGGAATCAATAAAATTGGAATTTACGTAAAACTACACAACTTACCACTTTTTTTTTTTTATATGTGATTTCCTTAATCTTCTTCTTCTGGTTCTTTTAACTAATATTAACAATCAACTCAAACTATCCAACTTTATGACTCATATCTGAAATCGCGTCAAATCAACGTTCATCACTATGTCCGTACAACAATATCAGATGATTTGAAACTGGACATTAAACTTTTACCAGGCTACTGAAAAATGGCTTAATAAATAGCTTAGGCTTATACAAAAAAAACTTAAAGAAGGCGTATCAATAACACCTAGTTAAAGGAAAACAATATCTAATAATAAATACCCCTGTCACAGCAAACCTGCAGACTAATCGAATTTCCATTTGCCTGATTGGATTTACACTAAAATGTCTACTTAAAAATATAAAACTTATTTCCTATAGAATTAGTTTAACAAGTACTTAGGTTTGCTGCATCAGGGAGGGCAAAACTGTTTTTTTTTTTTTTGTAAAATGTTAATAGTTAGTAAGAAATAAAAAAATTTTCCAAATTTGACCAAAATATGTTCATAAACAAGCAAACTACAACTGTTTACTTGTTCTCCATAAGAATAACATGGGAAATTTAAATTTACATTTTTTTGGAATTTTCTTCGTAACCATTAGGCGCATAATAACACTTCAATATACCGTACTAAATTATTTGTTTTTTTAAGCTCTACAAAATGGTCTGGAAAGAAATTGCTAAATTTTATGTGTTTTGGGTCAAAAATGGGAAAAACCTCTTTTTACACCATAAAAACCCCCGTAAACCCCCGTTCCCATAGTCCAATCATGCTGGTTTGCGAACTGGTTCAAGTTTATCCCGCCTTACACCTTCAAACAAAATTTTATCAAAATCGGACAAAAATTACTCAAGTTATCGGATGGACATATATATATATCCATATATAGATATATAAAAATTTGAGCGAATGGTGTTTTTGGCCTCTGGGGACATCAAAATGAAAAAGAAAATCGGTCCCGGTCTTACCATGAGACCTACGGTAATAGCTACTTCCCTATAGGGAAATTCGCTAAAATATATGTACAGTATGCTACATATTTTGGGAATCAATAAAATTTGAACTTTTGAATAACTACACAACTTACCAGTAACTTTTCATGTGTGATTTTCTTCCTCTTCTTCTTCTTATTCTTCTGGTTTTTTAAACTAATATTAACAATCAACACAAACCATCCATCTTTATAACTTATATCTGAAATCGCGTAAAGTGACGTTCATCACTATGTTGTCATTAGCTGTATGGGCTATTAATTAACAGCTGTGTCTAAGGAACATGTCGGCCTTAGTCACTAACAAGACTACAAGATCGCGCCACTCATCCTACACTCATCCTTCACTCATATTTGGGTTAAAATATGCACATATTGGCGTCCCCATCTTAAATAACTGATAACTGAACTGATAATTGTTCGTGCAACAATATTAGATTATTTAAAATTGGACATGGAAATAAATATAAGTACACACACACAAAACAAACAAATAATTAAGCGTCTTGAATTTGAAGATCTGCTCTCGAAGATGTCTCGTAGAGGATGGCCTGACACTAACCTATCATAGCTATAAAGCCTTTGTAGGCTACTGTAATAATATCTTAATTATCTTCCTAACTCTCTATCTGATAAAAAGAACCTGAACATCCCTATTCTGTCCTAGGACTTATGGCTATTCTATTCATGAGATGATATAGTAAAACTTGACCTAACACTATATACTTTAAAAAACCTAAAAAAATATAATCTGTTCTAAAACTTTATGGCTAACCTATTCATAAAAAAATATAGTAAAATTTCACCTAACACTATCTAATAAATAAACCTGAAAATCCCTAATCTGTTCTAAAAGCTTATGGCTAATTAATTCATGAGAAGATAAAGTAAAATTTCACCTAACACTGTATATTAGAAAAAGTGAAAATCCCTGATCTAATTAAAATTATAAATAAAATGAATTTAGTTATCTGTGATAACTCTAACCATCCCTAACCTCTTTCTAATAACCTAAAACTAAACGACGGGGATTTCTTCAGTGAAGCGAAGATTCAATCCGATGAAGGTCAGAACACATAATGCACACAAAAGGAATGTTGCTACCTTTGGTACGACAGCAACTCGAAACCTGCAAATAGCGAAGTCCAAGTGAGCAAATTTTGTGAGTTTAAGTCCGGCTTAAAGTTGTAATTCATTCTATGACGATCTTCTCCCAAAAGTTGACACCCATTTCAGTCGGAAAGATCTAAAACAGTGTCAAAGAATTGTTAAAATGAATCCTAACTAGACTGCCACTTATTTTAAATTACCTGTGTTTAATGATTCTACACTTTTTGGTGGTCCCACAGTTATGGTTTGATTAGCCTTGTCATAGTATTAAAAACACTAGCTTGACTGGCAATTAATTTTAATTATCTGTGTTAAATTTTTATGTATCCCACCTTTAGAGCCACTTTTGTAGTATTCAAAAACATAGTGAAAGAGAATTGACGCTTCGACCATGTTCCATGATTAGGTTTGTTTGGCGTCAGTTTTCAGCATCAGCCATTAATGTCCCTTGCCAATTCATGGAGGAGGGTTTGATTCTAGCATATCTCAACTAAATGTTCTATCCACATTGTTGAACAGGTTACAGTCTTTTTGAAGTATGTCACTTATTTGCTCCACCACTGACAAGAGCGCCATTGAACCAAATATGCTAAACAGTTCAACTAAAAATGTTTACTCAACCAAAGTTGAGAAAATAATAATAAAGAATGTTGTCTGTTGTCTATCAGCTCAATAAGGCTAGAACCTGTCCATCAAATGATGACTTAATATCGGGTAGCTCATGAAACTTTTTATAGTGTTAATGTATGAAACAAGTGTTGACCCATTTGTTTCTCTTAGGATATCAAACATAGGATATTCACCTGCGATTTAAGTGTTGGAGGAGGTTGACGTAGTGAAGGCTACAGTTCCGTTATTTCCCTTGATAAACTTTTGCTATGGTTGACAGACACCACAGTGATATGCCTGCAACAAAGTACGTCAGGAGGTTAAACGATTATTTCTTGTAAAATAAACCTAGTTGGTTTAGAATTTTAATAACCACATATTCTTTCACCATATATTGATTCTTCTGATTTGTCTGGACCAACACTAGTGAACTGTCAGGTAATTTTAATTGTTAGTTTTCAATACCAAATAATGTGTTGATTTATTGTTTATATACTATAGACAATTTTCTAAAACTATAGGCAAAGATCTAAAACAGTATAAAATAATTGGTAAAAGTTATCTCAAATTGACAAGCACTTTCTTTCAATCGCCTGTGTGGAACGATGCAATCTGTTTTATGTTGTTGGCAGTTAAATGTAGTTACCGTACTAAAAATGGGGAATTTAGGTTTTTACCTAAAACCCTATTCATTGACATCCAAGGTGGAATCTTCTTTCACAGCATTTTGACTAAAAAGCTTAACTGTCTGAAAGCTTTGCTTTGAATAGAGAAGAAAGACATTTTTATTTAGGTAAAGTTGGTTAAATCGAGGGTGTCTTTGAACCTTGTACGGGAAACAGATCAGCTCGACGGAGCAAGAACCTATCTACAAATTAATATTATTACCTTAATATTATGTAGCTTAAGAAACCTTTTACATTGTCAATGTACGTAACAGCTGTTGATTTGTTTGTTTCTATTAGGATATCAAACGTTGGCTACTCACCTGGCACCAAAGTGCTGAAGGAGATGGACGTAGTGAAGGCTACAGTTGCGTTGATTGACAGACACCACAGTGATATGCCTGCAACAATGCACGTCCAGAGGTTTGACTAACAGCACACTTCCTTTTATACTACAATATTAATTATTATACTTAATATTAATGAGCACCTAGCTTTGCTGCTACAGAGAAGGTGTTTTTAATTGAATCATTGATAGCTAATTAGTATGAAATACAAGGATTTGTCAAATTGTATTACACCCTATCCATAAACAAGCAAACTACAGCAGTTTACTTTATTCCCCATAATAATGAGCATAGAAATGTTGAATTTACACTTTTTTTACTTTCTCAATAACGGTAAGGCGTAAAACAACGCTTAATGCACTGTTCTTAAGCTCTATTAAAGAGATTTAGAAATAAATTGCTAAATTGTATATTTTTAGGTTAAAAAATGGGAATAACATATCTTAATCCCATAAAACGACCCATAAATTCCTGTTTCCATAGTCAGATCAGACTGGTTTGCAACCTCGTTTGAATAAACATGTTTACACGATACGTTTAATAGTTTGTACCTAGTTTAAGATTTATCCGATCATTTTTGCATAAGTTATCGCACTAATGGACATGTATATAAATATATATAGATAAATTTGAACAGATGTTGTTTTTGGCCTCTGGGGACCTCAAAACAAAAAGGTAAATCAGCCCCTGGTCCAGGTCTTACCACGACCTCATAAATAGCTAAGGTAATAGCTCATTTTCTATAATGGAATATTCTTCAAAATCAAACAAAATTACCTTAGCATTTATCAGAGGATACAGAGCTCACATCGCCTTTGTATAGGAAGTTCTAAGATGTCAGAACGCAGATTCTACGAATTCCCCTGGTCATACTAGTCGCTCACAACAATTGTAAAATCTAAAACAGAGTCTTAAAAGACAGTTTTTGGAAGAGGGCAAGAGTTATATCAACTGAAATAGATCCTACAAGTAATTGTTTTTGTTCCTGTACTTTGTATGTTTTGTACTTTATATTCATGCCTAGTTTTGTTGATAAATGTTTGGTCTACACTCAACTAGTGTTTGCTGCAAACTACTCTCCTGAAAAATTTTTCTCAGAACAGTCATGGAGGAAAGAGAGGCACTGTGTTTGTATAAACACAAGTACCGTAGTAAAATATGATCAGTAGCATACTATGCATTTCCACTTTGTCCCTTACCCTATGTTTTCACTTTATATGTGATATTTTCTTCAATAGTTTCATATGTAATAGAGTAATAATATATCTCAACTCTGAAATGACCAGACTTTAGAGTCTGCAATAAATGTAGTGCTTGGAATCAGTTGGATTACAGGTCATCGGTTCCCCTCGTAACAAATTCACAAGCATGCACGTCAACATTTTATAGGACAGGACCCAGAAAACTTGGATACTTGAAATATTCTGAGTTGGAATGGTAAATTTCTGCTATCTACTTACACTAAGGTTGTATTGTTTCTGTTTGTAGAGTAGATAAGATACTTACTTGGGTAGTCGAATACAGCTCTTATGATGCCTTTATGGAAGCTAGCAGGATGAAGAGTAGAAAGTAAGGAAATCATGTCAGTGGGTTAGAATAAGGTTCAAGGGATACTTTGGATAAGGGACCCGTGGTAGGGAGAGGAGGTCCAGACACAATTATTTTGATCTACCTCTTCTCTCTACCCACAAGCGCCTCCTCGGCCATGTTCAGTTGGAGGGCCTCCTGTTTCTACCACAATATTACCGAACTGTGGTAGGGCCGTAACACAAGCTTAAGGAGTGTATTACTAATCAAAAACTGTTTTCAAAACTCCAAACAAAATTTTAATTTTATGAAATATATCGCACGATATGAGTTTTGAAATAATTTAAGGGTCGAAGCCCATTTATCCCTCCTTGCCACCCCTGGTAAGAATCTTAGTAGTTTTAGTAGTTTAATCATGCAAAACATCCCATAGAAATCTTTTTTATATCTATTTTTTGGTAAATTGATGTCCCCATCTGCTGAAGGTGTATATAATCCCCTATTTACTGGCTTTGACTAAGTAGACAAGACTTATATAATGGCTTTTCATAGTTAAACTTCTTAAAATTTTACCAGGCTACTAAAAAATTATTTAATAAATAACTTAATACAAAATATATGTATATCCTACAATTATTCCTTAACTTAAAGAAGGCGTATTAATAACACCTAGTTAAAGAAAAACAATATCTAATAATAAAAATATATGTACAGTATGCAACTTTTATAGAATCAATAAAATTTGAATTTACAAAAAACTAAGCAACTTACCCCTATTTTTTTATTTGTGATTTCCTTAATCTTCTTCTTATTCTGGTTCTTTTAACTAATATTAACAATCAAATCAAACTATCCAACTATATGACTCATATCTGAAATCGCGTCAAATCAACATTTATAACTATGTTCGTGCAACAATATCAGTTGATTTGAAACTGGACATAGAAATAAGTATAAAAGCACGCACACACACACAGAACAAACAAATAACTAAGCGTCTTGAATTTGAAGATCTGCTCTCGTAGATGTCTCGTAGAGGATGGCCTAGCACTAACCTATCATAGCTATAAAGCCTTTGTGAGCTACTGTAATAATATCTTAATTTTCTCCCTAACTCTCTACCTGATAAAAAGAACCTGAAAATCCCTATTCTGTCCTAAAGCCTATGGCTAATCTATTCATGAGATGATATAGTAAAACTTGATCTAACACTATATACCTAAAAAAACCTAAACATTTTCAATCTATTCTAAAACCCTATGGCTAACCTATTCATGAAAAAATATAGTAAAATTTCACCTAACACTATCTAAAAAATAAACCTGAAAATCCCTAATCTGTTCTAAAAGCATATGGCTAATCAATTCATGAGAAGATTAAGTAAAATTTCACCTAACACTTTATAATAAAAAAACCTGAAAATCCCTGATCTAATCAAAATTTTAATAAAATGAATTTTGTTATCTGTGATAACTCTAACCATCCCTAACCTCTTTGTATTCACCTAAAACTAAAAGACGGGGATTTCTTCAGCAAAGCGAAGACTCAATCCGATGAATGATGGCAGAACATATAATGCACACAAAAGGAAAGTTCCTACCTTTGGTATGACAGCAACTCAAAACCTGTAATAGCAAAGTCCAAGTGAGCAAACATCATCTAAAAATTAGATTTTGTGAGTTTATAATTACAAAGATATTCCAATATTGCCTTTTAAATTATATCTATTTGGTATCTATTTACCTACTAAACTGAAATGTTGTATATTATATGTAATTATTGCAAATTACATGTACACTTCAATGCAAAATGCATGAAATAAGATCCCATGGAACCAAAAGGTTGGTTTAAATTTAATGAAAGATTATGACTTTGTTCGTAGATAAAGTCTCCATCAAACTGACGTCCCAGTAAAGCAGGCTAATTCAAATAAGACACCTGAATTCGTATTACTTGCGTTTTTTAAAATATCTTTCATCTAATTGATTTTTATCAAACCATTTTACATATTTAGTTACAAGAAATATAAAAAAATTACCTCTAATTTTTACAGAAGACACCTGATGTCAACATCTACGTATAGGAAGTTCATGTGTGATCCTCTTGAAAAATTTAACGCGCACGAAAAGTCGGAAAGATCTAAAACAGAATCAAAGAATTATTAACATGTATCCTAACTTGACCGGCACACACTTCTAATTACTAGTGTAAAATGATTCTACTATTTTTGGTGGTCCCACTAATATAAGATTATTAGTCATGTAAATCCTGTATTTGTTTGGTATTCAAAAACATAGTTTCAAAAATTGACAACTTCATATTGTTCTGTGATTAGGTTTGTTTGGTCTCAGTGGTCAACAGCTACATCAGTCACCGATCCATAAAAAAGGGCATAACTCTTATCTGTTTTTAACTAAATGTTCTATCCATATCGTCTAAGAGGTTATAGTTTTTATGTAGTTTGGCATTTCGCTCCACCACTGAAAGAGTTTCCTTGAATCTTATGTGGGAAACAGATCATAATCCAGTAACCTAACGCATTTTACCTTGCATGAAATGGGGTAGTAGGTTTCTTTTTTTATGTTGTTTGTAATAGTACCGAGTTGCTAAATCCAAATTTTCGACCTCGGCGACCTTCCGGATCACCTCCAAAAACCTTAAAAACTGGCAGAATTACGCACTATTTTTACGTTTGTCCAATTTTGACCATGAAGCATCACTTTTTCATAAAGAACAACCATAACCATTTTTAAAGTATATTAAATTACCTATCACATAAGACCAAAATGGTTATTACAGGCCTAATAGTTTTCAAGATATGACTCCACAAACAACGACTAAAATTACAAAATTTTGAATTTTTTTTAATGTTTGGCTAACGTTAACCCTTAAGCATAACTTAATCGTTATTTTTTACTAAAACAACCATAATAACTTTGAAACTGCATAAAATTACTCACAATTAAAGACCAAAATGGTTATTATAGGCCTAACACATTGAGAGATATGCCTCTTCAAGGTTCATAAAATCTTCCATAAATGTTTGTATTTTAAGATTCAAGTTGTTCAATTTGATCAAATTTTATAAAAGAACCATAATAAGAATATAAACAAATTTATTTAATTTCAACAACATAGTATAAGTTTTTTATGGAAGAAATCTATTGTAATTAAAATGTTTATAAAGTACTATCAAGAGGAATTGATATAAAGAATGAAGATGCAACAGTGAAAAAAGGTTTCAACTTTGCTGTCGTTCTGCCATGCAATATATTACTTCTTTTATGTCAGGATTTACTGGCACTCCTCAGGACCTCCTGTCCTGTCTGTGCTGTATGAATTGAGCAGTAGTGGGGGGAAGGACCAACTTGTTCAAACTACAGCACTGACACTAGAAGGACATGGGTATAGGTATCCTTACATGAGCCGGATAACAGATAAGGAACTCTTACACTGGATCTGCCTGCCTGCATGCTTATGAATTTTCACAATTTCTTGATAAGGAATAAGATTAAACAACTAGCATTAAATCAAGAGGACAGATTGTAACAAATTTCGAGAATTTAATTGAAAATAAGACTAATAATATGATTTTTTGGGTGAAAAAAGTTGTCTCAATTTGAAATTTCAAAGTCCTATAACTTCTGAACGCTTCAACCCATCAATTTGGGATTACCTGCAGGATATTATATAATTCAAATATCTACAATATCTGACCAAAAAACTATATGTCATCATGAGTCATATTATGGTTGTTTAGATAATAGTGACCACAGGTGTCCATAGTCCCCTTGGCACTGTGGGTGGTCTTTAGCTCTTTCCTGTGTTAAAACTTAATTCTTGCGTAAACTATAGGCTTTTATTGGTATTTTTTTCTTACTTTGCTCCAACTAGTACTCTTTTGATATATGAGGTTTTAAAAAGTCAATCGTGATTAATTTGAAAAATATTAACTAATAATGTATGATTTGCACAACACAACTCGCTTAAATTCTTGTAAATCTGACTTTGTTTTTGAATTATGAAGCAAGCTAGCTATTGACTTTTTATAGTCTAAATTGGTTCTTCAGTTCTTGGATCCTTCAGTGTAATAAAGCATTTTCAAGTGTTAAAAATATATAAACTGCAAGGAAATATAAAGTAAAATGTTAGTAAAAATAATTTGTAGTAGGTATTTTGTTTACGTAATGTTTTTCACTCATTAAATATGATTTTTTGTCTAAGTTAGAATTGTATTCCATTTATATATTATTTGTGTAATTTGTAATACCATAATCCTATTCAAAATTATTAAATTTAAGCTTTTTGCCATTTTAAAGTTGAAATAAGAAAATCTGTTACGCAAAATCAATGTTTACGTTATGTTTTTCACCTATTAAGTAAGCTTTATTTGTATCTTATACTTGTATTTTATACACTTTTTATGCAATTAAAAAAGCCATAACTCTATTCAAAATTATATAATTTAAGCCAATATTAAGCATTTTAAGGTTTAAGACACAAAATGTGTTAGGCCAAATTAATTAATTTACGTTATATTTTTGACCCCTTAAATGGGGTTTATATGAAAAAAATATGATTGTAATCCTTTTATACACTCTTTATACTATTACAAAAGCCATATTTGTATTCAAAATCATAGTATTTAAGCCATTATTAGGTATTTCTGTGTTGTAAACAGTTTAATTTAAAATCAAAATTACGTAAAAATGAATACCGTTCGTCACACAGGCCTGTGTTCTATCCCCGAGAACCATTTATTGTAACAATGTATGTGAGTATTTATGTAGATAGATATAATAGATTTATTTCCATTTAAAAATAAATTGTCAAAACACAATCTGTACTTGAAAAGAAATAAATTTTTTATTTCTTATTATATGGTTCTTTTATAAAACTTGACCAAATTGAATAGCTTGACAGTTTTGAATCTTAAAATACAAACATTTATGGAAGATTTTATAAACCTTGAAGAGGCATATCTCTCAATGTGTTAGGCCTATAATAACCATTTTGGTCTTTAATTGTGAGTAATTTTATGCAGTTTCAAAGTTATTATGGTTGTTTTAATAAAAAATAACGATTAAGTTATGCTTAAGGGTTAACGTTAGCCAAACATTAAAAAAAATTCAAAATTTTGTAATTTTAGTCGTTGTTTGTGGAGTCATATCTTGAAAACTATTAGGCCTGTAATAACCATTTTGGTCTTATATGATAGGTAATTTAATATACTTTAAAAATGGTTATGGTTGTTCTTTATGAAAAAGTGATGCTTCAGGGTCAAAATTGGACAAACGTAAAAATATTGCGAAATTCCGCCGATTTTTAAGCTTTTTGGAGGTGATCCGGAAGGTCGCCGAGGTCGAAAATTTGGATTTAGCAACTCGGCACTAATACAAACAACATAAAAAAGAGAAACCTACTACCCCATTTCATGCAAGGTAGACCCTGATTTTTATAACAAGGTTACTGGGTTATCAGCTCAATATGGAAAAAATGTTAAAAATTCTTAAGAGACATTTTACAGTGTCCATGTGTGTAACAACTTTTAACAATTGATTTCTTTGTTTAAATTAGGATATTCACCTTTGAGATCAAGGAGCCTGACTTTGGGGCAGAATACAGCTGCATCAAAATCCTTGCTAATCATTCGCAGACACCGCAGTGATATTCCTACAAAAAAATACGTCAAGAGGTTAGACAATAACCACACTTACTAATAAATACATTTATTGTACAATCAACCTAGTTTAGAATTTTATTTACCATATATTCTTTCACCATAAATTGATTCTTCTGATGTTTCTGGGCCAACACTAGTGAACTGTCAGGTAAATTTAATTGTTAGTTTTCAATACCAAATAATGTGTTGATTTATTGTTTATATACTATTTACGATTTTCTAAAACTATAGACAGAGATCTAAAACAGTATTGAATAATAAGTAAAAGATATTTTGGAGAAAGAATTTGAGTGCTGTATGACTAAAATTATACTAGATGGTATGTCGTTTATATTGTTAGGGTTATATAGAACTCCTGAATATAAATATATCCAACCTTTCTTAGCAAAACTAGATATTACTCTAGATTTATTAACAAAAAAGTTCAAGAATCATATTGGCAGGTGATATAAATATTAATGTTTTAAATCATGATAATGTGTACCATCAATTTTTAAATATCATAAATATATATAACATGTCTTATAGGGTTGACTTTCCAACTAGGATTACTGATAAATCAGCTACTGCAATTGATAACTTCATTACCAGTATTTTTGAAACAAAATTAAATGTCTCAGGTGTTATTACTCATGTCTCTGATCATGATGCTCAATTGCTTGAAATACAAAATGTTAACAGTATAAACAAAAAGGTAATGAAGAGGTTATGCAGAAAGTATACTGAAAATAATTTTAAAATGTTCCTTAGGGAATTAAGTAATGAACACTGGTATGATGTTTATCAATCTTCGGTGGATGCAAAATTTAATGTCTCTATGTCTACTTTCAGTCACATTTTTAACACTAATTTCCCCCGAAATGATGTGTGTAGAAAAAGTATCAAATATATGTAAATGGAATTCAAATGAAAAAGTGTGAAATCCATGAACTAGTAACATATACTAGAGCAAAAAGGAATTCACTGTTATATAAAACAATAAAAGTTTGTCGTAGGGGCCTGTGCGCATGGCGGTCGCTGACTTGTATGTATATGTGAGTGAGTGTGTATGTGTAAGTAGTTTTAAAATTTACTGATTTTTGATAAAAGTTTCTGTATCTGAGTTTCTGTAGATTTCTGTTTTGTTTTATTGTATAAGCTGATTATGATAAAATATTTATATTATGTTTTAAAGTACAGGTTAAGTGTAAGAAAGGGCCATGTGGCCCTAACTTTGCCTGTATAAATAAATGATTTTTCGTTTCGTTTTTTTCGTTAAAAGTAAAGAAAAAAGAGTTAAAGGAATCCATAAACAGTGCTAAACAAATATTTTACCAAAATAAATTTAGAAAATCTAGAAACATAACAAAGACTACATGGAATATAATTAAAAATGAGATTTCACTAAAATCAAAACAAACTGTCCCCTCCAAAATAATCTTAGTTCAAAATGATAACCAAATATCAGATCCTGTTGCTGTGAGTAATGTTTTCTATTTTGCAAAACATTGATTCAACATCAAATCACAACATTTTCACCAAAAAAAAGTGACTGCCATGACAAACGTTTTAAAATTTGAAACAATAACAGAAGACCATCTTAAAAAAGTTGTGCTTTCATTTGAAAATAAAATTTCTTCTGGGCATGATGAAATACCAATTATTACTCTAATTCAAAAATCACTACTTTTCATATCAAAACCATTAACACATTTAATAAACTCCTCTCTCATTTCAGGCATATTTCCATCCAAATTAAAGTTGGCTAAAGTTATTTCCGTATTTAAAAAAGGTAATCCTAAAGATCCATCATGCTATCGTACCATTTCAATTTTACGTGCCTTTTCCAAAATTTATGAGCGTATAGTTTATATTCAGCTGTCTGGATATCTTGAAATCAATCAGTTACTGGACAAAGAGCAACATGGCTTTCGAAAAGGAAAATCCACAGTAACAGCTGGTATAGAATTTATAGAGTCTATAATAAATGCAATTTGATAAAGGGAAAAAGGTTGTAGGAATATTCTTAGATGTCAGTAAAGCCTTTGACAGTGTGTCGCACAATAAATTAATTAACGTTTTAAATGAACTTGGAGTCCGTGGTAAAGAACTTAAATGGTTTGAATCCTACATTAAAAATAGACACCAGTTTGTTGAAGTGGATGACATCATAGAACATTATAAAATAAACTACATTGAAAAAATTCAATCACAGCATCAGACACTACGATATGGAGTCCCCCAGGGATCGATCCTGGGCCCTCTACTATTTCTTTGTTGTATTAGAGGTTTGCCTGGGACTATTCCTGGGAGTGACGGATCCATGTGTCTGTATGCTGATGATTCTAATATCCTGCTAAATGGAAATTCTAATTCTGAAATTGAAACATCTTCTTCAAAAAATCTTCAAGTAACTCATGAATTTTTAAAAGAAAAAAATCTTCTTATAAATGCAAATAAATCAAACTTCATATATTTTTCAACCAAACAATCAACAACAAAATTTGAAGCAAAAATTTGTATAAACAATGACAAGATAGACCAAGTTGGACAAACTAAATTTCTTGGTTTAATTATCGACAAAAATCTTAGTTGGGACAATCACGTTAAACATGTTGTAAAAAAATTGACTTCTGGTGTATGTGCTTTGAGACAGATGTCTCAGTTCTGCAGCATAGACACTTTGAGGATAATATACTTTTCATTACTGCATAGTCACATAGCTTATGGAATATCTATTTATGGAGCAACATCAAAGACCAATTTGGATTCTATTCTTATGAAACAATACCCCCGCCGCAGCAAACCTGCCGACTAAGCGAATTTCCATTTGTCTGAATTGATTTTCAGTTAAATATATTTTAATAACATTAGGTTTAACGAGTACCTAGATTTGCTGCTACAAGGAAACTAATAAAGTGTGTTTTTGAGTAAAATATTGATAGCTTAGTACAAAATAAATAAATTTGCCAAGTTTGATCAAAATATATTCATAAACAAGCAAACTACAACATTTGACAATATTCTCCATAAGAATAACATGGGAATTTTAAATTTACAATTTTTTTAATTTTCTCCGTTACTAATATTCGAACAAAAATACTTTTATATACTAAATTATTTGTTTTTTTAAGCTCTTTAAAAAGGTCTAAAGAGAAATTGGGAAATTTTGTGTTTTGAGGGTCAAAAGTGAGAAAAACCAATTTTTACCCCATAAAACCCCCCGTAAAGCCCCGTTCCCATGGTCCGATCGTGCTGGTTCGTGAACTCATTCAAGTTTATCCCGCTTTACACCTTTAAACCAAATTTCATCAAAATCGGACAAAAATTACTCAAGTTATCGCGTTCACGGACGTATATATATATATATATATATATAAGTCTATATATATATATATACATATATAAAAATTTGAACGAATAGTGTTTTTGGCCTCTGGGGACATCAAAATGAAAAAGTAAATCGGTCCCGGGTCTAGGTCTTACCGTGCCACCTACGGTAATAGCTACTTCCCTATAGGGAAATTCGCTAAAAGAGAGCTATTCGTCTAATGATGAAACTGCAAAGAAAACAATCAGCTAAGAGATATTTTAAGGAATTACAAATCCTAACGGTGTATAGTCTGTATATATATGAAGCATACCCTATGCAAAACAAATTCAATTGTCATCCACTTCAAGCAATACTGGTGACTATAACACTAGGTTTAAAATTAACCTACCCCGACATAAATTGGAATTTTTCAAAAAGAAAACTTATTATTCAGGTTTAAATTTTTTGCAACACCTGCCGGCTTATATAAAGACGGAAGACAATTTGAATAAATTTAAAAGAACACTAAAAGACTTTTTAATTAAATTTCCATTTTATTCCATAGAAGAATTTTTCAAAAATAAAAATTAATAGCTTACATAATTTGAACTCCATAGCAAAATTAGGGGAACAATTTAAATTTTCACAATGATTAGCAATACATTTTATTTTCTTTGTATATTTTTACCTAAGCCCGGAACCGGAAAATGGGTATATGTTTTTTATTTTAATAACTGCTAATGTTATTGTGATTGCAATAGTGTTATATTTTTAATATATTCAATTAGAAATTCTTCACTTATCTTAATAGTATATTTTAAGCACTTTGTAATATGTAGATATATGTATTTATAGCCTATTCGACTCTATTCAATACATGTTATTTTATGTATAATGAATAAAGAATGATTTGATTTGATTTGATTGATTTGATACTTCAATTTGACAGGAACTTGCTTTCAGTTACCTGTGTGGAATAAAAAGTAGTGAATAGTAAAAAAAATTCCGAATTTGGTTTTTACCTAAAAACTTATTCATTGACATATAAAAGTACTACCATGGAGGTAGTAATTCTTCTTTCTCAACATTTTGAATACTATGACAAGCCTTATTGTCTTAAAGCTTTGCTTTGTATTCAGAATAAAGAATGTATTCTTCTATTGAGAAGAAAGACATTTTTATTTATTTAAGTAAAGTTGGTTAAATCAAGTCTTTGGACATTATACGGGAAACAGATCAGCTCAAGGGAGCAAGAACCTATCTACAAAATAAGCTAATGACCTTAATATTATGTAGCTTAAGAAAACCTTTTACAGTGTCAATGTACGTAACAGCTGTTGATTTGTTTTTTTCTATTAGGATATCAAACGTTGGCTACTCACCTCTGGCACCAAAGTGCTGAAGGAGATGGACGTAGTGAAGGCTACAGTTGCGTTGATTGACAGACACCACAGTGATATGCCTGCAACAATGCATGTCCAGAGGTTAGACAAACAGCACACTTGCTTTTATACTACAATATTAATTATTTGTTTCTGTTTATGACTGATTTGTAATTTAAAAATAATTATAAATATCATTATACCTCCGCCGCAGCAAATTCTGTAGACTAAGCCAATTTCCATTTACCTAGCTAGATTCCCACTAAAATATTAACTTAAAAGTACCAGATTTATTGAGCGGAGAGAGCGAAGCTCTTATACGTCGACTCTTATGCATTTCGTAATACGCAAACTCCTCCTAG